ACTCATAATTCTATACACCACTGCATGATGGATAATAGTTAATACAACTATTTATTATCATATTATATAATTATTAAAAGAGACAATGACTCAAAAATGTTTCTGGAAATACTCAATAACATACGTTTATTACCGTAGTAACATTACAATGCAAAGTGAAAGTCAAGTTCACTCTGAAAACTTTTGACGTTGGTGCGAAAGTAACATGACGTCATTGTTTACCTGTTAAAGTATCATTGATATAAATGAAGAAAAAACCTACTTAGAGTTGACGTAGGGTCATAAAAATTCAGATTTGGCAACTTCTAACCTTGCTCTATTAATATCCATGAAAACCTTAAAATGTGTAAAAACTGCCATAAGGGCCCTTTTCCCATGGGCGCAATCATATAAAATTTTGATTATATATTACGCTAAAGGGTCCAAAATGGGCCTAAATACTAAATTTGGGATGCTTTATATCTGAAGTATTTTTGGCAAGCAATATTAAACAAAAGACAATCAGAATGATGTCTAAACAATATAAAACATTTAAATTCTTGCGAAACGGCCACATTAAGGACTTGAAGGGTTGACCTCCTAAATATTTCTCTTCTAAATATCTCTACCGTTCACGGTAGCTCAGTCGGTAGAGCGCTCGCTCCGTGATCGGGAGGTCGTGAGTTCGAATCTCGACCGCGACAGACCTAAGTCGATAAAAAATAGGTAGCAACTGTTCCTTCGCCATGCGCTCGGCACTTTGGAGTGAAAGTTGCGGGTCTTTCGGATGAGACCTTAAAAACCGAGGCCCCGTGTCACGGCAGGCGTTGGCACGATAAAGATCCCTCACTGCTCAATGGCCCTGAGTGCCGAGTAAAGGTCAAAATTTGAAGCCCTTCACCGGTATATGGTGACGTCTCTATATGAGTGAAAAATTCTCGAATGGGACGTAAAACAATATACAATCAATCAATCAATCTACATATCTCAAAAATGAAAAGAATATTCTGAATAGTTGCTGATCAAAAAGTCTTCAAATTCACTAGCCCTTTCATTTGATATCAGGAAAAAGGGACTGGCAATTAAGTAATTATCTTACAGGGACAAATTCCCGCTTTGCAAACATTTTTTCAATACCTGAAATTCAATTGTTTGCAAAACGGGAACAAACCCAAAGAACTCAGTTCATTTAATCATAGACAACTGCTTCTTAAATAAAAATTGAATTCGGAAATTTTCATATCTAGTGATTGGTCAACTGCAAAATTACTTTGTAAAAAAAAAAAAAAAAAAAAAATCAGATTCTACGCATAAGTTTAAGAAAGTGAGATTAAAAGGAGGCTGGTTCCTTATTGACAGTATCTACGTAGTCTTCGGAGACCAGGTCTTCCAACATTGTTTTAGAATTGCCATGGGAACTAATTGTGCTCCTTTATTAGCCGACCTGTTTTTATATTTTTATTTTGTTTTATATTTATTTAGAAAATAGAGGCGTACAAGGCGAGGACAATCCCCCGCTCTAAAAAAAAAACAAGACATTTCTCAATTCTAAAAGTTCATATCAAGTTATAGTTTTCAAAAATTGTATTTTCAATATCATCTTTTACACATTTTCCTTTATTTTATTGAATAACTTATTGATAAATAATTTATTTTTTACCAATATGTTTTTAAAGTATGTGAAAATAAAAAAAAAAAAAAGCTTCACACATGATTCGAACTCTCTCCAAAGTTCACGGTCATGCGTAAGACTGAACGCGTTAAACACTACGCCACAAAGTCCTCTTGTCGTTGACGTGTGTCGGTGTTTAAATAAACGAATTTATTGAAGCGTACAACTTTTTTTTCAGAAATGTTCGATTTTCATAGAATGGGTTCAGATTTTTTAAAAATAAAAAATAGTTTTTACATTTACTTTCCCGTCATTTGAACGTTAATGTAGAATGAAGACTTGACCCATTCATATTCAAAAATCATTTTTTATGGCTGCAAGAAACCCATTTTCCACTAAATATGCTCAACTGGCAACTTTGAAAAATTATCAGCCAATAAGTCATTCAATAAAATAAATGAATCAAATTTGTTGAAGATGCCATTACTGAAAACATAATTTTAGAAAATATAACTTTTCCGTGAACTTCGAAAATTGAGAAAAATACTATCTCAGAGCGGGGGGTTGTCCTCGCCTTGTATGCCCTCTTTCGTTTTATTTTGACTGTCATATTTCATACCAATTGTAAGGCCTTTGTTTTTATACTAAATTTGACTTCGGAATATTTCGCCTACCTGATCAATTCATTGGGCTCACGGCGGGTGTCACCGGTCGACAGGGTATGCTTACTCCTATTTGGCACCTGATCCCGCCTCTGGAATTTCTAAGGGTGAGTGTTTATGCCGTGTTCACAGCTTTGTATTTTTGTAGGTTTTTTGAGATCATTTTCTCATATTTCATCACATATGAATAATTATCATGTTTAAGACAAAGATTGAACATACCAGTATTTTATGTCTACTTGTTCAAAATGTTCATACCGTTCACGGTAGCTCAGTCGGTAGAGCGCTCGCTTCGTGATCGGGAGGTCATGAGTTCGAATCTCGGCCGCGACTGACCTAAGTCGATAAAAAATAGGTAGCAACTGTTCCTTCGCCATGCTCTCGGCACTTTGAAATGAAAGTGCGGGTCCTTCGGATGAGACCTTAAAAACCGAGGCCCCGTGTCACGGCAGACATTGGCACGATAAAGATCCCTCATTGCTCAATGGCCCTGAGTGCCGAGTAAAGGTCAAAATTTGAAGCCCTTCACCGGTATATGGTCTCTATATCACTCTCTATATGAGTGAAAAATTCTCGAATGGGACGTAAAACAACATACAGTCAATCAATCAAAATGTTCATATAAGATTGAGCGTTTGTTAGATTTGACTAAGGATTTACACATGATTTTCATTCTAAGGTAAATCAAATTCTACAGTTTGTAATATTTGGAGAATCTGGTAGACGACAAGTAAATGTAAAACAGGATTGGTTAGTTACTTCTTGAAAAATAGATTTACTAGACCATGAAATATTTAAAATCTTAACAATATGATACCCTGACTTTTATTTATATGTTCTTAGTTTAAATGCATTTAAAATGTTAAGAATCCTTGCAGGTTGTAATATGTTTAGAGAAACTTAGATTTTTACTTTATAAACTGGTTTTTCAGTCATGCGTTAAAGAAATAATCAAGAATCAACTTTACAAGACTCGTACGTAATATGGAAAAATCTTCTTTTATGTATACTTATAAAATCTTAATGTCAAATTTTGAGTAAAAAATTAATTTTAACATTTTCCGAGGGATATAAAAATATATTTTAAGAGTGAGTTTTAGTGAAGCAAAAATAATTTATATTGAAATGCTAAATTGTCCGTTTGCTAGTCAAAAATTTCACCTCACTCTGAAAAGAAAACCAAATTTAAAGCTGTTAAAGTTTAGAAATTTTGTCACAAACAGCAATGATTAAAGGAAATCGATTTCGGTTTAGTGACTCCAAGAAAGCTTACGATACAGGTGGAAGGTAGGATTTCTATTTAAACTTTTCAAAACAGTATTTTTTGGTGCATCAGAAATATCAATAGATAGTAAGTTACAAGATGCGGTATCGCCTCTGTATTTTTCAACTGTACACAGTGTTGAAGAGAAAAAATATATTATTGTTCATTGCTGACTTAGATGGCATATGACTGAAAGAACAAGAAGTCTGTGAGCCAATGCTCACTAGTAATACCCCCGCTCTGATGTGAATATACACTCTAAGCATGGATAAACAGGAAGTTGACATCGGATCAAAAATAAATCCCACCATATGGCATGCCTAAACAAATAGTTTGTTAAATTTCAAGCATCTGCGATGAGTAGTTGCTTAGAAAACTGCGATGAAAATTTGCTATGTATGGTACAGACAGATGTACGGATAAACAGGAAGTTGACCACGGATTCGCACAAAAATGAATTCCACCATATGGCATGCCTAAATAGAGAGTGTGATAAAATTGCTAAGAAAGTAAGTTGCTGAGAAAACTGTGACGAAAATTTGTGATGTATGGTACGGACAAACACAAGGATGAATAGGAAGTTGACATCGGATTCGTACAAAAATAAAATCCACCATATGGCATGCCTAAACAAAGAGTGTGTTACAATTTCAAACATCTGCGATAATTAGTAGCTGAGAAAACTGTGACGAAAATTTGTGATGTATGGTATGGACAGACGCACGGATAAACAGGAAGTTGACATCGGATTCATACAAAAATAAATCCCACCATATTGCATGCCTAAACAAAGAGTGTGATAAAAATTCAAGCACCTGCAATGAGTAGTTGCTGAGAAAACTGCGACGAAAAATTTGTTACGGACAGACAGACACACACACACACACACAGACAGACAGACAGATAGACACACAAAGGTAAAACAGTATACCCTCCTCTCCTTCGGAGCGGGGGTATAAAAATACTGAGAAGTGAATAAAGTGATTCGATTAGAGATTCCAACAAAGGATGCAGTAAGTCAGTTTACAACGACATCTTACTGACAAACAACACAAATGAAAGGTTGGACGTAATTTAATTTGCTGATTTCAGTATAAAAAAAATATGTTAGATACATGCACATATGAGGTATAAATTTTATGATCAACTGATCGCTTTTTGCATATCTCTCATAAATTGCGGTAATTTCTGCAGAAAAAAAAAATCACAAAGCATTAGTTATTCTAAGTGAAACCGATCTGAAAAAAAAAAAATAATACCAAATGTAAAATAAATCTATATAAACCTATCTGATTTAAAATTTGTATTAAGAATGGAATTGATCTAAAATAGAGAGTATTTTTATTGTGCATATGATAAATGTAATAGTGATGTACATATATAAAATAATGTGTTTAAAACCTAATTTCTTATCGAAATGGATTTATAATTTCATTGATAAAACATCCTTATTACTATGAAATTCAAATCTAAAATGTCTCAATCGATATTTATATCTAAAACACTAATAAGGAAGAAAATGAAAATTAACAGAAAATATAGCAGAAAATAATCAACAACCTCAGACGTTTTTACCATGTGACAGAAATTATACATGCATGTAGTAAAATTTGTGTATTATGCATGGCGAAAATACATCACATTGCTGAAGCTTGTTCATGGTTTCAACATTTACATGAAAAGTTACAGTGAAAAATAAATTCTACAAATCTATATATACTGTAGATTTATAAAATTAATACATATTTTGTGATGAAAAGTCCTGCATTTTAGAATTTTATTGAAAAGGCAGACACTTTCTTTAACATATATACTAATACAAATATTGTGTTCCTATCTTCCAATATATTATTTACTTGATCATTGACGATAAATATACAAAACTATAAATTAAAAATGAATGAATAATTAAGCTTGACATGAAAACAAAAATAAATCTAAAATACCATAAAAAGTTGAATCTTTACCTGAAAAATATTATTAATGAATAGAAATAAATGTCAATGTAGATAAAAACATACATGTAGTTATATCCAAGAAAGAAAAAAATATCAGGATACAAGTTTGTCAAACATATTTTTAAAAAATCGTTTATAAAAAATGCTGATTGTATGCTCTTCATTCACACCAGTGTAGCACAACATTTCAAAATGATTTCCCTACATGTTGGCATATATAGCTGAAAATAAAGGCAAGAGAATGTAAATTATAGTAGATAAATACATACATAAATAAATAAATAATAATAAAACAAATTGAACGTCCTATTATGAATTCCATTTTGTCATAATTAGTTCGCATGTGCAACATCAGTGAAGTGGATTTTTGAATAATAACAGCATACGACGAAATAACATTCTGCTTTCTGATGATATGTTGTAATTTTAGATAATGATTCTTGGGAAAAAAAAGAGTAATCAGTTGGACAGAGAACATTTTCAATGAAATGAAATTTTACCAGCAAGAACAAAAGAAGAGCTTTATGTGAGAATAAACGAGAACTTGAACTGCAAAAATTACAGACTTGTTTAGAAATGGAATGAATGAAGACTAATGTTCAGATCTAATTTAAAATGAAAATAATGGAAGATCAGAACCAACTGGAATATCATATCTCCAGAACCAAAAACTAATAATAGAAATACTAGTATATATTAAAAAACCTCTATGATCAAAGGTTTTATTACTTTGGCCGAAGTCGTGAAGTCATTGCATAGATTTTTCCAAATAAATAGAAAAAGTTACATCAGATAAAAATATACTATAAATAGTTGAAAACTGTAGAATAGCATTTATAGATGATGTAGTAATAACAAAATTTATTTGGTATGAACCTAGATTTAATTCAGTAGAAACTAAAATTGTAGGTCAATTAATAATTAAGACTTTAATAAAAATGGGAGCTATTGTTGAGGCAAATCCTGAACCTAACCATTTTCTGTCATCTATATTTACTATATATGAAATGATGTATTGAAATAAACGTAAGGCAGAGGTTTTTCTCATATTCCAGGAAAAACAATACAGAAGTAGACAAATTACAATGTACCAAGAAAACTGATCAGTGGAACTGCAACTAGATCATGGTATTTCTTAAAATTTGCTCAAAATTTTACCCGAGGAGTAACTGACTTTTTGGACTGGGTATTCTTAAAACAATAGATTACCACACCCATACTCTAACATCCCACAAATTCTGAATTACAGTCTCTGTACAAACAGACTTACGATTTCCTCGATCCTCCTCGCCCTCTTCATTTTCCTCGTCACTGTCCTCGTCACTTCTGTTGACGTAGTCTCTGATACAGTCATGAATGAAAATGTACTGGTCCTTGATTTGTATAATAAAAATTATTACATTTTCAACAGTGAAATACTGTGATTTATTCATTGAATAAAAGTGATATTCTCTCACAGTGTGAAAGGATACCAAAAGTGATATTCTCTCTCAGTGTGAAAGGATATCAAAGTAGGTAAAATATAATTTCTGGCCTGCAATAAGATTGAGATCGTAACTAAACCATTTGACAGAGACTAAAACTGCCAATTTCTTCCTAAATATGTTGCTAAAATCCATGTTTCAATGTCTTGTCATTTTTCAACTGCTAAGCCATGACGTCTCAACTGCTCAACTATGACGTCACAGCCTATTACATTGTGTTTATGTAATAAATAGAAAATCCAATGTTTTATAGTTGGATATGGAATTTATTTCACTCGTGAGACAGGATTTTTTTTTATATTTTCACTTGTGCTTCCCACTCGTGAAAATATATAAAAAAAAATCCCATCCCATTCGTGAAATAAATTCCATATCCAACTACAAAACATTGAATATCCTCTATATATTCTCATTACACATATTTTTACTATAGAGCATTATCAAAAGATATTTTTGCCCTTGAATAGGTATCGCCATCATCAGAAACCCCGGCCAGTGGATTTCCGATGATGAGGTATCACAAGCATCCTATTTCTTTTTTTCACAGATTTGTGTTTTCCCCCTCAGATTGATATATTATTATCCTATTGTCACACTGTAATATTCTATATGTGTAATCATTTGATAACAATCTAGGAAACTTGCTTCATAACTAAATGGAAACTTTGCTATTGACACGAAGTAGTCAAAATGCCTAATCTAATTTCTTAAGAATTAGATTTTCCCCCATATCATAAGAATACCATGTTTTTTAATGTTTTGTTTTTTTTCCCTTCAAAATATGAATCTTCAATATAGATATCCATTATCCTAAATACAATACAATAGGTTTGAGAGGAAGGATATATGTAGAAAACTACATTGGAAGCGCAGTCAAGTAATATTACTATTCACAGAAAAATAGATAATTTTATATGTATAACAAATTAATTTACAGATTAGAACTTAATATCAATACCTCTGTTTGAACCATGTTTGGTCGATTGTTTCGCATTTTCATAACATAGTTATAGATATCCACAACGTCACTGGAAGTCACGTGTTGCATCAAATAATCAACGGCAATAAATGTACCGGTACGTCCCACTCCAGCACTAAGATAGAGGAAATCATATATATGTATTCACTTGAACAAATAAAATTCAGTAGAAATGTCCATAACAACTTTAGATTTATATTACTTGTCCAAATTTTGAATTTTGCCTACTATTATTTATTTGCTTAGAAATACATGTTTCAAAAGTGTTAAAGTAACAAAAGAAGAAGAAGAAGAAAGGGGAAAAAAATAATGTGTACTTTTGAGATTTCAAAATCATCGTTCATTTAAAAATGATTTTTTGGGTTTAATATGAATGCTATATTGATATATATGTACTTAATTGATAACAAACCTCTACATGCAAAATAAGTAATGAGAATTTTTAATACTTCAGATTACCTGCAATGTACAACAAGAGGTCCTCTATTTGTTGTAAGAGGAGGAAGATGACTCCTAACCTCCTTTGTAAATTTAAGCATGGTTTCAGATGTTTCAGGAATACCCATATCAGGCCATGCTAAATACGAGAAGTGTTTAACTGTTTTTCTGCTGTCTCCCTGTAGAAAATGCACATAGTGTCGTTATATGCATCATGCAATTAGTTATTCTTAATAATAATTTCAAAAGATCTTGGGAAAGAATAAAACGTATGATTTTACAAATACATATATTGTAACAAAAATACACATCCTTGCATGCTCTTGCTTTACAAACATTTGCTAAAGGCTGTATATAATGATGATATCCCTCTTTACATGCTATAAATGATTGCTCACGTGGATATAGTCTGCTGTGCAAGTAACTAAAACCCATTCCATATACCAGTCAACAATCATGCTAATATTACAAGGGTACATCTTTGGGGTATATTAGTTTTACCTGCAGTGAACTACTATCGGACCAGGGTCATTATGGGGCAAATATAAACGTGTAGCCCCGACAAAATTTAGGAGCAGCCAAGTGGTTTCTGGACAACCCATATCTGGCCACTTCAGATAATGAAGCTGTTTAACCTTTCTTGTACGATCACCCTTTGAATAAAATTTCAAAAAGAGTGCAATTTACAACAATAAAGCCACAGTTTTCCAAAATGATATATGAAAATATAGTACATGTATACACTTACTAGTTTTACAGACATCACACGCAGGACATAGTCGGGGAGAGTGGATTCTGATTCAGTTTCCACCACAAGGTCTCCGTAGTACACTGGTTCCCTCGTCGTTTCAGGCCAATATATATCGCACTTTCTCTATTAAATATTAGGTTTACAGTTTATATAACTTCAATTACTCTAAATAGTTTCTCTGTGATAATATCAGCAAGATATGGTATTTCAAATGATAGAACAGTAAAAAAGGGAGAAACAAGAGATTTAAATCTTACGCGTCCTCTCTCAACCAGCTGTGTCAGCATAACAACAATACTGACATTCTGTTCCCAAATCATCCGCCAAAATTCGTCACGGGTAAAGGGTAGAGGCCCTTGCGTAGCAATGTATTCCCTCTGGGAGCTGAAACCCTAAATTACAGAATATGGTTTATAAACTATTAATTTCAAAATTCACACACTTTTTTTTTTACCAAATCTTTTCTTCCAGGTATTCGTTAAACTTAAATCCACATTCTTAGTATAATTTATTTAATAGATCTTTGTTTAAATAAAATGGAAATCAAATAAATACCGGTATATAATTGGCGTTAATGTAATCAGACCCTTCGTCATCTTCTGTTGGTAGAAGTTTCACTCTGCTGTGATCGTCTGTCAATGTAAACAACAAACTGGTAATAAAATATTGAATTTGTTCCAAATGAAATTAAAAAAAAACAAGATTCAAAAGGAAGGATTAAATCCCAGATTTAATTATGTTTATAAACTGAATCTATTATTTACACCCTTAATAAGTCTAGCGATGCCTCGTTAGCTAATTGTCTAAGGATTCACCGATTAAGATTTAGAGCACACTTCGGGTATGATGAGTCGACAGAGGATGCTTGATCCTCCATGGCACCTGATCCCACCTCTAATCTTTTTAGAGGCCCATGCTTGCCCTGCATACAATTTATATTGTTTCATTAGACTTTTGAGCTTGAATACTGTTCGTTTTCTTTGTATTTTACTAATAATGCCAGATACTGTATTTTTTTGTGTCGCTTGCTTGCTGAACAACAGAGCGACAATTAGGGTTCACTTACCTTCGTCTGTCTATCTGCTGTCTATCTTTCTGTCACACCTTATATCTCGAGAATATAAGAGGTATGGATTTGAAATTTTGCATATATTATGCTTAGCACTATGACTTTTGTCAAATACTATGGTAACCAACCTAGTGGCCTTTGAACTTGACCTTTGACCTACTTTCGAAAATAGTTCATTGTGCCGATATACAGCAGATTTTTGACATTTAAGCTATTTAGCTATTTTTCTTAAAGTGCACTGTTTGTTATCTTTTGAAAGAAAAATGCCAGCGTTACTGGTGCCTTTACCTTGACCTTTGACCTACTTTGCAATAAATACTTCGGACTGTTTAACTTAACAAATGTCGTTTTAATCTTTAAGAGGTAAGGTTTGGATAAATAGCATTTATAAATTCTCGCCGCGGTTCCATTATTTCTTTATTATTACTATCTATTATTTTTTTTTTACAGTTATTTGAATAGTATAAAGAGGTATGAAATTTTTTTTATACATTTTTTTATTTGCATTGTATTCGAATTTGTAAAGCTTCTTTCGCCAAAGAATAGTCAGTTGGCTGTTGTTGCTTAGATCCGCGATATGGCCCCTGAGCCTTTCTTTTTTAATGTAAAAGCGTGTTTTATTTTTTAATTGAGAGAAAGTACATCAATGTCCTACCAGTTATGTAAATGCATATATTTGGGTAGGAAAAATAAAGAGTTAGGCTGAGGGACCTTCAAGTTGTTTTATCGTTCTCGATGAAGGTAGATCAATTCATCAGTTTTTCGAAAGAAATATGAAATAATGTTATCTATCACTAAAATCTACGTGCAGAATTTTTCTTTATAAATATTTTTCAAAGTTCGTTATGTGTCTCCATGGTAAAAAAAAATGTTGATATACAATCTTAACGTACTTTGAAAAAAAATTCAAAGTGCGTTGATTTTGTTCCAAATTTAACGCAATTTGAATTCTTTTTATAAAGCGCGTTGATTTTGTCCCAATTTTAACGCACTTCGAAATTTTTTTTAAACTGCTTAATATTTTCAAAGTGTGTTGCCACAAAGCATGAACTATAATGCTTGTAGCAAATAAACAACTGTTCGCTCTTAGAATTTTTTTTTTACATCTTTAATGGAGCTAGGAGGTAGCATGCGTTCCTTGCAGCACTCTAGTTTATTTTAGCCTATAGAATAACCATAAGCAAACATACCTTTTATCAAAGCAATATAAAAGGTTAGTTCCAACAATAACCTTTATTCAACAGGAATGCTGTATCAAATTCAGCCCAACAGGAGTAAATACATACATTTTCCCCCTAATTGAATTGTTCATACCAGAGAGAGAGAGAGAGAGAGAGAGAGAGAGAGAGAGAGAGAGAATTTTGGTTCATTATTGAAGTTATCTACCTCACCTGAAAATAAATACATATGAAAGAGGAGAAGATAACGAACAGTGATTAATCTTAGGTAACAATACCATAAGCTGATGACAGACTTAAGTTAAAAATTTCAATTCCGTGTAACATTTAGATAATTTTGAAAAGAAAACAAAATGTTCATCGTGTGTTTCAGTATAATATAAAATTGCAACATTTAAAAAAATACAACATGTTTGTCTTGCATATTACTGTATGTAACAATTCAGAAGAACAATAATACAGTACAGATTGATTCAGCAATATAGTCAAACATGTAAAAGAAATGATTCTGATAAGTTATACTCACAGGCCAGGATATTGGTATATCTATTTTTGATCCTGTTTACTTGAATTTCAGCAGCTTTAGTTGTATGAGCTGGACAAGTTTCCTTTAATAACTGGAATAATTTGTACATCAAAAATTGTATTTGCCAATCACTCTTTATTCATAAAGAGTTCAGATGTCATTGTCTTAAAAATTAACATACATAATAATAATATTGGTAAATCATGAACATGTAGGTAAACAAAACATCAATTAGGAAGTCTAAATCTGTATCTCAACACAATTTGGCTTACAACTATATATAGACTAAAACAAGATATTTATTTCTGTGTATCACTTTTTGATTTCAATGAAGGTTGTTGCCAAGAATATTGAAAATAGAAATATATTTGAAATTCTTTCAAAAGCCTTTCTCTCGTATTTTAGGTCTGATTTCAATATAACTTAATATACAGGTAGACTGTGTTGCGTTGTACAATGTAGAATTTTTTATATTTTTATGCACCCACCTAAATGAATGTTGTCTATCAAGGCAAACGCTATAAATACTTTAGAATGGACCTGCTCCTAAAATTTTAACTTGTCAATCATCCACATGTGAGTTAGGGCTAGGTATTGGCGTTTCTATGCAAATGAGCTAATAAAAACGCATAAAAGGTAAATGTATTATTTAAAAAAAGTTTTGATTTATTATCTTATACATACTTACTACCCACGAGACGTTATAGCCAGTACATATTATGACGTCATTGTTCTTACCTACTGGAGGTGATAAAACACATCAACAAAATAGATTCAGTGCAAGGGATTATCCTGTTTAATTTTACATAAAAATTGTATAATGCTAAGAAGAATACTCTAAAGATAAATAAAACTGCTGCACAAATCCTAGGCATTTTCTCATTTGATCAGGATTTAAGAAAATTTATAGAAGACTGTACAATTTAACCCTGTTTCAACTTAAAACTTTACAAATGATAATTAAACATCTGAGCTGTTGATATTTGTGCAGCAATACATGCAATCCTTGGAATATTTTGCTTCTAAAAATAAATAAAATAGAGCATGCCCTTGCGCCGATTCTTGTTTTTTGATGTCCTTTATAATGTTTTGCAGTAAAAAACAATGACGTCATAATATGAAGGCTATATCATGCAGTGAGTACAAAGTATGCATTAGACAATAAGTTTTAGCCTTCTCTGTATAATAGGAATAGTCCTTAGGCATTTTAATAAGTTTATTTGCACAGAAATGCCCACTTTGAGATAATGATGTTTTTAACAAAGTAACAACATAAGGTTTTTAAGTGAAGAAGGAACTTGAGCTGAAAAAATTACTTGTCATTCATTTTTTTTTTCAGATTTTGTATATTTCGAATTAAGTATGCCCCGCATATCTTAAAGCAGTTACATCATTAGGTTTCTTCCTTATTTTGGAGATATTGATTGACAAATACTATGTCCTACAGTATCTAAGTGGAGTTTTAATTCTCAATGTTTTCAGGCCCATTACGCTGTCCATAATGGGATTTTTTTTATGAATGGATAAAAAATATGTAAGCGATCATGTACCTTTCAAAATTTTTCAGAGTATGAATCAAGTTTAAAATTTGAAAAAGCAAGATACTTCCATCAAACTGCATCTGGATAGGGAAAATAACGTACTTTTTAAAGACAACTTAACCCCCCCCCCCCCCAAAAAAAAAAAAAAAAAACTTCATTTGCCAAAAATTTTATCATTAAATATTTTTAAATTTATGTTGAAGTGCAAGTACTTCATATTATTGATTAACTGTAAAAATTTCGAATGGTGAAGCTGACCTTAATATTGCAAAGGATATAGTTTTAAAAAGAAGACAGAAGCATGACAAAAACGGGTCATGTTTACATTTCTCGAGTACGGGAAAAACCAACTATGACGTCACACATAAGCTAAATAAGCGAAATAAGATATACCTACATAAGATTCTCATCATCAGTCATGCAAAAATAGTTTTTGTGTTCCCAGTTTCTCAAACTATTTCACCATATACTGATTATAACCTGTTTTACATAATAAACCGCCCATGTATTCACCTAGTATGATCTTGCTGTGCTAATAGATCGTGTATGACGTCACCGACTTGTTGGACGCACAGTTTAGGGAAACAGAGGAGTGGATGAATCTATTTCATAACTTGTTAATGTTTACAAGAATGTTACTTTTAATTTTTTATATATATACATAAGATGGTAATTAAAAATAAATTGTCAAAAATTTATACAAAAACTGATGGTTTACACATTGTGCACTTATATAAAAGGAGACTATGACGTTGTTAAACAGAGTCATGTGACCATGAGTCCTTCATCCCCTCAAGTAAAAGTACGAAACTTATCGATACTCGGGATCATGCACCTTTATATAGTCTTCACGTCAACAAATATTTTTTAATCGGACAAAAACTGTAGAAAATAGACGATTATGAGTACTTTCTCAGAAATTAAGAAATATTGACACTTTACCAATGCATTACTTCTTCTGACCTTAGAAAGTATAGAGCTCAAATAATTGATATGCTTATTTTTTTTTTTTATATCGCATCAAACATGCACGCACTAGGTCAGCCTGAAGTCTCAGTCTTCTGAGTTAACATAAATAAGTAACATAGCAATATCTGTTTTTATAGATTACCTTGTACTCCTGTGAAAATAAAAGGTTGCTGTCAGCGTGCATTTTCTGAACATAATTGGCAAAATCAGCTATTCCAACAGCCCTACAAGTATTCAATTTTCGATAAATCATTACTCTACAGGCATTGTTGATTTCTAATAACGTCTAAATCATTAAATATTGTATATGTATATGTTGTTTATGTGTGAATTTAAAGATAATGACCACCAAATTGAACTTTTTTGAAAAAATTCAACTACCCATAACATTTTTTTTCAATTATATCATCATACTGTACATGCATTCTAGTTTAAATTCCTGAAGTTGCAATAGAATAGACAATTGGATAAAAAGAAAGTAAAACTTAAAAAAAGAAGAAGAAAATATCACTAAATCCTAAGACATTCCAAAATGCACAATCAAAAGAAATTATAGTTTTTTTATGCTTCAAAATGATATCAGGGATATAAATGATTAGATCTAAACCTGCTTTAGTCTCTTCTCTTGTATTCAAGGGAAAAACTTGATTTTTTTAATTGTTATTTTACATTATTTTTTTCAATTCTGGATTGAAAAGTTTTGATATTTATTTATAAAAGAAATATGAAACAACAGAATTCCCCCAAAATCACTCTTTTGTCCATTGAAGTCAATTCCTTAAATCTAAATCAAAACAGAATTTTGATGTACAAGTTTTCTTACAAAAAATACTAGATTTTGAAGTGAACTTATTTTACATTGTTGTGTTGAACTCCTGACATCTGCTATGTGTTTTTTTTTTAAACATTGTTTTAAAAAGTATAACACACAATAACCCATTCTTACTTTGTAAATCAGTTCGTCATATTGATATTTCTTTATCATTTATGGTAAGGTTTTCATATTTTCAGACTTCAAAACATGATTATTTGCAATGTGTAATATACATTGTATTTGAAAATATGTGTTCAGTGATGAAAACTATTCTCTGAATTGACTGTAAAATGTCTGTAATTAGTTTATAGACATAATGTTTTGAACATCAAATAGTATCAAACATTTGTTTTCAATTATTTTTTTAGTAAAGATAGATGAAGATCAATAATTAAAGAACAGTTTAGTTGCACTCTTGACTGCAGTAAAATTAAAAAATTAAACCATGGAACTCAAAATTTCCTAAAATGATGGCAAAATCAAGTAGTAACGAAGATGTGCAATATTTATAGTCCAATACTTCATAATTAAAACACGTGAAAATATTTAAACTTGGCTTCATATCTTGTATTATTCCCTATTTATGTCAAATACGAGGGTTGATCCAAAAGTGCGTGGAATTTCTTATATTTAATTTATTTTTTAAATAGAATTGATTGAAAATTACAGATGAAACTATATAAGGTTGTTGAATTTTCTTAATAAAAAATACCTTAAAAATTCATGATAGTAACAATTTGGCAGTTGCCATAGAAGAGGACGTTTGCAAATGCGGGGGAGACATTTATTTGTTCATCATCATTTCAATTCTTGATACTCACTGTGAAAAAAATGTGCTAAATGCTGAATGTGTTATATAAAACAAAAATGATATCATAATTATGATTGCTTGAACTTTTATAAACCTTGTGTGAAAGTTTTGTCGAAAATTCGGTCAGTGGTTTATGTTGGAAATAAAGACCTTCCTGATAATATTGAGCTTAAAATGTAGACTGTAGCAACTTTTTGTTTGACCAAGTTGTTGTCATGGCTGATGTTGAAAAGAAAAATACATACAATGTCGTGAGTGCAACAGAAAAATGTAGCATTGCCAAAAAACATCTATTTTTAAAAACTGAAAGACATTTATGTCAAAAAAGTAACTACTTCACAGATCTTAAAAAAATATTGAATTTCTTAAAATGTCTCAGAAAGATGTTGCACTTTTGACATTTTTAGCATCATTTGTGGGCATAACTTTTTTTGTGAATTGAGATATCGATGAGGTATTTGGCAGGTATTTAGACACTATCTAAAGACATATGCTGAGACATAGAAAATTTATTCCCATTGCCTGTATTTTTAGTGCAGGTTGATAAATAGTTGTTTAGTTATTTTTTGTCCCCCGCTTTCACTAAAAGTGGGGGATATTAATTTGGGTCTGTCTGTCCGTCCGTCAGTCTGTCCGTCCGTCTGTATTTCTGTCTGTCTGTAACACTTTCGTTTCCGCGCATTATCTCGAGAACCCTTTGATCTTTCGCAATTAAATTTTGCATAGCAACTCCCTATGGACTAAAGAAGAACCCTATTAATTTTGAGGTCAAAAGGTCAAAGGTCAAGGTCATAAATTCATAAATTCTGTCTGTTTTAACACTTTCGTTTCCTCGCGATATCTCGCAAATTCTTTAAGCTTTTGCAATGAAATTTTAGATAACTCCCTGTGGCCTAAGGAAGCCCTCTGTTGATTTTGAGGTCAAAAGGTCAAAGTTCAAGGTCGTAAATTCACAAATTCCGTCTGTGTGTAACACTTTCGTTTCCGGGCGATATCTCAAAAAGCTTTTGAGCTTTTGCAAAAAAAAATTTTATACCATAACTCCCTATGGCATCTCTCGCCCCTTTCAAAGTGTCCCGCCCCGTTTTTTTTATTTATCTATTGTATATTAAAAGTCGCTTGGCACTATTTTTAGCACAGGCACGGCCAGGAACACGTTAAGTTCCTAGACAGTACCGTTGTCAGAAACCTTAAAAGTTAAGCACTGAAACTGGTTCGTTGTCATGAACATACAGGTGAGGTTATGATAAAATCCGTCCGGTGTCATGACTTGAGAAGACAGGCTGTAAGAAGTTTTTTATTTTTCCAAGTTAAATTATCTATAACAATGTCTGAAATTGCAATGGGAAACAGGGCTGACACCCTATTTGGTGCTGTATGAATTTCAGCCGTTAAAAACAAGTAATAAAAGAAGAGTTTGCGTTGGCGACATTAACTCTGTTGAAATCACTTGTGGATTTGATTCGTTTTCCTACTGAGATGTGATATTTTTCGTAAATAGAATATAATATACACACCAATTGGTGCAGACAGTATCAAGACATGTTGTAAGCCTTCACAGAAAAATTGAGAACAAATTAAAACTGAAAATTTTGATTTATTTCAATTTTTGTCCGTTGTCATGACAAGATACGAAAATTCAGTCCGTTGTCATCGGTCCGTTGTCGCTACTGTATTGTATACATTACGATCTTATGTTGTTTTAGGTATCGTTAAGCATGCCATCAAAAAGAGGGGTGTGACGGTACATATTGTCGTTTTGTATTTATTGTCGTCGGCGACAAAATGTACCTACCATGACTGCACATATCGTCGTCCATCGATAAATATTGTCGACGGCGACAATGTGTACCGAGACGAGCCTTTTTTCCTCCTGCGTAATGGAAGACAAACTGTACAGTCAAGCATCGGCGCGTTTCGTCGTCGGTGACAATATGTACTGTGACCATTGGCACATTTTGTCGCCGATATATTGTGTTGAATATTTACTGAGATCGTGAAGAGAGAGATGGAGAGAGATTGACACACATACACAGAGAAAATACTGAGGGAGAAATGGTGTTGCTCAGAAAATTGTGTCCACCATTGATTTCCATGACTTTGATATGTCAGAATACCGTAATTCTTGAGATATCTGGAAAAAATCAGTCTATTCTTTTTTTTTCTCGTTATACATACATGGATATGAGATTGAAAGTTATTTGTTCAGTAGAAATGTTATCTGGAATACATTTTTTTTTTGCTTAATTCTCATACGAGTGTCGATATAATTGGTGTAGGGATTGACATATTTCACCTGAACTGATAGCTCTAGTGAGCTTTTCTGATCACATTTCTTGTGTCGTCCGTCTGTCTGTCGGCAAACTTTTCACATTTTCAGCTTCTTTTCAGGAACTACTGGCCAATTTCAATTTCAACCAAACCTACCAGGAAGCAAACGTGGATAAAGGGAGTCAAGTTATGACCTCATGACCTCTTTCAAGAAAGTACATGTATAGTTAAGAATTAGTGAAAATTTAGATGTTACAAGTTATTAGTTAATTAGTGAAAATTTAGTAACATCTTTATATAATTTTCTCAAGAACCATTGTGTCAGAAAAGTTGAAACTTATGTGAAAGCTTTATTATAAAGTGTAGATTTTTTTTTATTCAGATCATGTCTGGGAAAGGCCAGGGTGGGGCTATAATAGGTGATCAAAGTTTTAATAGAATATTTAAGAATAATTCTTTCAAAATTTTCTTCTCGAGAACTTCTGGATCAGAAGAGATGATACTTATGTGAAAGTACACACATTAAGCGTACTTTTAATTTTTTAGATTCTGACACTAAAAAGATCCCACACTTTTCATTGGGTTCCGAGAATAGGTCTAAATTTCTCGCCCTCCACCGGCAAGTGGGATATTAAAACAACAAACAAGCAAACAAAAAAAAATCAATTTTGTTCAAATCATGACCCCCATAGGTAGGGTGGGGCCACAATTGGTGATAAAAGTTTTCCGTTGGAATATAGGATATACAAAAACTTTTAAAATCTTCTCAAGAATCAAAGGCGGATCTAGCACCGGCGCACCCCACCCCCTTCCCGATCCCTATCCCACCCTGCCCCCTCCGTTTGATTTTTCATTTTCTTTGCCTTTGTAAATTCTGGTTTTTTAAACCTGTATATACTCTCAATTTTGTCCACAGGTAAAATTTCATGATTAAATAATATACTTAACTTATACAGTAACACTTCTTCACACACAAACGATTTTTTTTTTTGGCTTGTCAAAAAAAAATCTGAACCGCCCCCCCCCCCCCTTTCTCCGTCTTGAAATTTTTGGATCAAATATTGAGAACAGCAGTAGGTCCGTGATTAGCGATGTTTATATGGAAGCATCCTCAAGTAGTGTAGATTCAAGTTTCTTTTAATTATGACCCCCGGGCCTAGGTTGGGGCCACAAAGGGCGATCAAAGTTTTACACAGGAATATATAGGAAAATTCTTTAAACTTTTTCTTCTCAACAACAGCAAAGCAATGATTAGTCATATCTACATTGCCATGCATTGTCATGCGACATGTACTAATATTTACATTTCCAATACATTTTCCTTAAGA